GGAATGTATTGCGTAAGTCCTGGAGTGGGGGCTGAGGAATCTGCCAGTAAAAGGGCTCCTTGTAAGGGGCAAAGAGTTCCTGGAAGCAAGCTTTTTGGACCATTCTACTCCTTATATGCCACAGCAGTTGGACCATAAAGCCTATGCTTTTTAGACACTGCCCTATGTCCTCCCTACCCTCTAGGAGGTAGCATTTGGCCTGGGATGGTATAGAAATTAGCACATTCTACATTTATTCAGGGGTGTGGACCAGAGGAGCCATGAGGTCCCTTCCAACCCTATGATTTCCCACTGCAACCTGCCCTGCACTTTAAAACATGTGTGGAGCTACAGCCTAGGGTAGAGGCCTTGCTATATGGCCACCCTCCCCCTGTGCACTGAAGCACAGAGACATGCTGCACTCCTGATGCTCGCTGAGCATGTCCTTGCGAGATGAGCTCTCCAGGCAGGGCAGGGAGCAGAAGCATCCCTGTAACAATATCAATTCCCTCCTTTGTGCAGCTGGATTTCTGTTCTCAGCAACAGCAAGGAGGAGGCTCTGAATGTGGCCTTCAACAGGGGCCAAGGGAGTGGAGAGAACAGTATGGAGGAGCTGACAAGGGCCATTATTGAGGAGATAAAGTGCCTGCCAGGGAACAGGGCCTGCTGTGACTGCTCGTTGCCAGGTAAGAGTGCAGGGGTTTTGTTCTGAATGAAGGACATGCACAGTTTCTGCACAGTCAGGCACTTCTCCAACTCTGGCATGGAAGCTACCATCAATCCTGCCATTGGCCTCCCTCTTCCCACCTGCACTTGGCCCTCATCAGTCCCTGAACTGCTTTGTGCTACTCTCCACCAAACACTGTAATGGGCATATGTGGAACAAGAAATGTTCTTCCCAGTGGGAGTACTTTCACTTCATCCTGAACTGGCTGTCTGTGCAGGAACACAGGCATGAAAATCACCCGAGTTCTAACTCCTGTCAAGCATCCTCAGAGCTGGCCCCATTTCCCAGAGGGGGAAACTGAGACACAGAGAGGACAGAATGAGTTAGAGTGCAAGCCAGGAACAGGGCCCACATCTCAATGTCCAGCAGCACAGAGTGAGATGACATTTCTGTGAAAAAACAACCTCTCTCCAACTGGGAAGCTCCAGGAGTGTTAAAAACCTTTAAAGCTCAGTGAGTGGTTTTATGCCCTCTCAGAGCTCTAGCACCCCGAGTAGTAATGGCCAGGCAGCCTCTGTGGACCTTGTATATTTGGGTGTGTGGGAGCCCTAAACTTCTGGTGATGCCATAGCACTGCTCCTCAGAATTATGGTGATCCCATCATCTACAGCCACAGCATTTGGACAGCTAGGCCTGCATGCCTGTCCACTTCCATACACCAACAGCAGAAATGTGGCAGAGACTGAAGATGACCACAGGGAATGTCCTTTCCACTGCCACTAAAAGGGATTCAAATTACTTGAAAACCACTAAAATGAGTTCAAATAACTTTGAAAGCTTTGCTACACAAAGAACTCCCCATTCTGAAGATTTGACCCATTCTGTACAGTCAGACCCAAGACCTCACAGTTCTCATGGCTCAGGGACATGTGCTTTCCCCTATAATGTTCTCACATTCCTCTCTCTGGCATGGATGTTTGGCTCTGGCCAGCTGGCAATGAGCTGAGTCTGTTGTCAAGTTCTCTGCCACCCCTGGCCCCCCCAAGCTATACCTACTGCCTGTCCATGGCCAAAGGAACCATCCAAGCACATTGAACTCTATCTATTCCTTCCCTTAGCACCAGAGACTGCATGGAGGAAAAAGGAGAAGCTGGCTAGACTGGATCTAGGCTTGGCAAGGGCTTCCCCATGCTCATCTGTCCCTTGCTGAGGACTGCAGCAGATCTCTGGGTTGGGGCACAGAATTGGTCCCTCACTTTCCATGCCAGTTTTTACTTTCATCCTTTTTTGCATTATTTTCACCACAACTGATGCTTGGGTTGGGGCCACAGGATTGGGAGACAATCCTTGGAGGTTGAGTGGTTGGCAGTCACTTGACCTATGCTATGGCTATCTGGTATTTCCAGCTAGAGGTTCATACTAACCTCAGGACATGGTGTCACCCTAACAGATCCCACTTGGCTCTCCATTAACCTGGGCATCCTGATCTGCATTGAGTGCTCTGGTATTCACCGGGAGATGGGTGTGCACCTTTCCCGCATCCAGTCACTGTCCCTGGATAAACTGGCAACCTCTGAGCTCTTGGTAGGGAGCTGCCTGTATAATTTCCAGTCTACTTGCTAGGTCTCATGGAGAAGTGCATTGAATGGTGGGGGGGAGGGGAGGGGACACTGGCAGCTATGGGAGAGGGGCTGCTATAGTGTTGGCAATGGCAAGATTATAGATGGTGGATCAAGGTTACTAGTCATTGGTAGAGAGATCAATCAGGGCCACGTCTCTAAACCAGGATGGGACCTTAGTTGATGATGAGGGTATAGCACTGGTACTGGGAGAGGGGAGGAGATAAGAGCCATATGTGGCATTTTAGAGGGGTCCTGGGGGTAAAGTCACCAACTCAGGTATCCCTTTGCTACCTCTTGATGCCCTACCTGCTTCTGCCAGCTTAGTAAATGCTCTACAGCTAGAAATACAGGTTTTGGGCTACCTAAGGGACTTGCAAACCTTGGGTAGTGGCATGCTGAGAGCACAAACAGGAATAATATGCATTGGAGCTTCACTGCACCTTACAAAGGAGTCAGGGTCCCTATGCTAGGGATTGCCACAACCCTGACTTCCCAGGTCTCCATACCCCCTTGCAGCTGGCACATGCTTCAGCTTTGCAGTACATTGCACCAACTAGTCTCTAGCTTGTTTGTTTTGCAGTTGGCTAAGAATATTGGCAATTCTGGTTTTAATAACATCGTGGAAGCCAATCTTCCCAGCTCTTCACTGAAGCCAGCGACACACAGTGATATGTAAGTTCCTTCTCAGGAGTCCCAAGCCAGCCCTCACCTGCTTCATAAATTAAGTATGGGGCCTTGTAGAGATTTATCCATTCCCCTGCACTCTGACCTCCCATTTAAATGCACTCTATGTCCTGTTTCTAAGGACAGATGCCCAGGGTCCTCCAGCAATGGACAGTTGTACAAGAGTAGAATCAGAAGTGCAAAACTAGAGGGAGAACCAAAGCCAAAGGAATCACCAAAGCAGAAGTATCATGCTGCAAAAGCAGGACAAGGGGCACTTTGCACTGGAAAAACTCATCACTACAGAGAAAGTGCTGGGGTGAAGTGGGTGAGAACTTGCAGAAGGTAGAATGAGTGAATTGCTTGGTCTGTGATAGTAAGGGTGAGCTGAAGAGCAAGAGAGAATGGGTATATCACAAAGAAAAATTGTCAGGGGAGAAGCTCCTATAGTGGCAGCAGGATGGATATGAGTTTTTCAAAACTTCTTTGGGGACTGGGTGACCAGTCCCCATTAATTGTAGTGATATATTTCCATTTATGTCAATGGGAGCAACTGGAATGTTGAACACACTTGAAAACATCATTGATGAGAAGGGGTCACATACAGTTGTAGAGATGTGGGTGCAAGATCTTCAGTTATGATTGGGAGGAGAGAAGGAATTCCACAATAATGATATTTCAGATCATATCCCAGGCCCAGGTTCCTGTGCCCTGTATTGCTGAGTGGCACATAGGATGCTGTTAAATTGGAATGGCAGAACTTGACAACAATTTTGGCGGCACAGGTTTGAATCAGGCCCAAATCAGGAACTGGCTCAAACAGGTATGAAGGCAGAAATCCCTACAAAGGGAATGGAAGCAGGAGGAGAAAATAACACAAAGTCCAGTTTGGAAAATGCAAGGCAATATTTCAGAGAACATTAAGACCAAATAAACTCTCCCTTCTGCTCTATGAATACTGCATTCATCTCTGGGCATTTCTCTGTCAGTAAGACATAAATAGCCAGGAAGAAGTCTATGCAGAGCATTAACAATAATCAGGGTGCAAGAGAGGCTATTTGTAAGGAAGGGTAGAAACCTTGACATGCTCACTCTAAGGCCGGAGATTGTTAGTTTAATCTATGGGACAGAACTGAGACTAAGGGTGATGAAGTCTGGAGAGGGTAAATGCCCACTGACTCCCAGTAAACCCTGCCTCCCATGGGATATACAAGAAGATGCTCAGGGAACTGGACAGGAGTCCTATGATTCGGGATATTTGAAACTAGATGGGACAAAATGCTGGAAAATAAATAGGTGTCTCCATCATTACCTTCTATTATTAAAGAAATGCTGAAGTTATCCCTGGGGAAAACCCCTGAAACAGCTATTTGATGGGAGGTTGCAGGGGAGGGTGTGCTGGCATTCTCTGTTCTCCCATCCCTACCCCATTGCTATTGCACCTTGGATTTGATTCCAGTTCTGGTGCTACACAGTGAAATTAATAAGGCTCTGGAAGGCTGCATTAGCAATCAGGACAATGTCAGTGTAGCCCAGGATAGTGCCACTTATCAAAGTGATCAAATACTGTGTCAAGCCCAAAATATTATGAAATGGCTTTAAAAAATCTTTTGATTACACAAATAGGGAGGTTTTATTCATTTTTTTGCCTTCAGGTTGATGTCACCTTTGAGCTGTTTTCCATCCGTTCTGTGCAGCCATGAGGGCTACAGATTGATATATTTTTTAATGAAAGCTAAAGTTCTTCTCTAATTACCTGGCTCAAGGAGCTGGGGCTTTAAGAAAGCTACCAAAATATTAGTAGAGTTAGCAGATTTGCTAGAGCAGGATTGAGGTGAGAGCAGGGGAACAGGAGGAGCAGATAAGGATGAGAAGGTGCAACACTGGCCCTCAGGTGGTTAACTGGGCACCTTGGCTTCAGGCCTGTGTCTGCTTTGACCAGACCTGAGCAGGAATACTCATGATGGAGGGGCCTTCTGTGTGAATTCTTATTTGTTTCCTAATGCTGATTCCCTCCAGGGCCCTTCGGAAAGATTACATTATTTCCAAATATGCTGAGAGGAAATATGCTAAGAGGAGCAGTGAGAGCTCAACTGCCCTGCATCGGGGGTTGCAGAAAGCCATCATGTCGAAGGACATATTCACGCTTCTCCAGGCCTATGCTGAAAAGATGGACTTAGATGAACCTGTTCTGGAGCCTACAGGGGTGAGTCTGGCCCTGCTGTGGTTGCACCAGAAGACCCAGATTAAATGGCAAATGCATAGTTCAGGTAGTGGCAGTGCAGTGTGTGTGCAGATGGGAACATGGCCCACAAAGCACTGAAGCAGGTAAGACAAGCATGGGGTTAGTGGTATTCTCAATAAAGAGGATGTACAAGTGTAGGGGGAGAAGCCTCCTTCTCCTGATAGGGACTTTGTTCACAGGGTCCAGGCCCCAGCTGTAAGGGCCTAGTTTTTCTTACTGATGGATAGGGTCAGTTCTTTTCCCTGGGTCAGTTTATTCCTGTGCCTAACTTGGCATTCTATGGGACGTATAGGGGCAGGACCTCCACCTGAGCCTGGCAGGAAGTCCAGTCTCTTGGGGGATGTGTGATTTCTTTGTTACCTGTTTTGTTTCTTTCCCTGCCTTATGCTCTGACTGCTATTTTTTTACAACCACAATAGATCGGGGAGAGCAGTCCATGGTGTACATATTAGAAATGCCTTAAAGACCACCCTGTGTGTCAAGGCAGGTTGCTCCACACACAGGGCCAGTTTCTGTTTCACCTATTAGGAGCATAAATAGACTTAGGCACCTAAGTGTGATTTTATTCCACCCTTCTCGAGTCCCCAAAAATCCATTTGTGCTATCTCATAGATCAGGAAAAGGCTGGGAGACTTCTAGTTCTCAAAAGGGCTTTATTGCAACTAACACATACACACAAACATGGCTGACAACTTCCTGTTGATGCCATCATGTCAGCCCTCAGGAAGGGAGTTAACTCTTACTACTACTACATTCCCCTTTCTCAGGAGAAACTTAAAGGATTTCCAAAAAAACTGCAAAATCATCTTGAGAGGAGAGATTACAAGCACATCACTCTCTTGTGAGTCTTTACCACTCACTTCCCTGCAAAAAGAGAATAATCAAAACAGAAACATCAATAAGTTTTTTCATTTAAAGTGGATAGATTAAAAAATCTAATCTATTTGGTAGAACTAGTAGGGTGGAAGTGCTTGACTTTAGGAAGGCAAACTTCAGTGTGCTTAGGAATTTAGTCAATGACGGACTGCAGGATAAGAGTATTGGCAAGATGGGAGTCCAGGGAGGCTGGTCGTTCCTAAAGAAAGCGATCCTTCGGGTGCAAATGGAGACAATCCCAGAATGAGGGAAAAGGGGGAAAGGAGCCCAAAAACTTCCTTGGCTAAACAGGGAAATCCAGGGGAGCCTAAGGGCAAAAAAGAAGGCAAGCGGGGCGGGGGGGGCTACCAAGGAGGAGTATACCTACTTGGCCTGCACTTGCAGGGAGGCAGTTAGAAAGGCCAAAGCAACTACAGAGCTGAGGCTGGCAACAAAAATTAAAGACAACAAAAAATGTTTTTTTCGGGAGTAAAAGGAAGGTGCAGGGCAGCACAGGACCCCTACTGAACAAGAAGGAGAAATCAGTGACAGACAGGGGGGGCAATGCTGAGCTAGTCAATGAGTTTTTTGCCTCAGTGTTCTTGAACAGAGTTCAAGATAAGTCTCCTAATAGGTTCTTAGATGGGCATCAGAGGGACCAACTGTCTACGGTGACTTGGTGCAGAGTCACTTGGATGGACTGGATGTGTTTAAGTCAGCAGGCCCAGATGAGCTGCACCCGAGAGTACTGAAGGAATTGGCCGGTGTCATAGCAGAACCACTGGCACGGCTGTTTGAGCACTCATGGCGCTTGGGTCAGGTCCCGGAGGACTGGAAAAGGGCCAATGTAGTCCCTATTTTTAAGAAGGGGAGGAAGGAGGATTCGAATAATTATAGGCCAGTCAGTCTCACCTCCATGCTTGGAAAAGTCTTTGAAAAGATTATGAAGGATCGTATTTGTGGGAGTCCAGTGGGAAAAATAATGCAGCAGGGCAACCAGCATGGATTCATAGCAGGTAGATCATGCCTGGCCAATCTGGTTTCATTTTATGACAGGGTCACAAAATGCTTGATGCAGGAGTAGAGGTGGATGTTGTTTTCTTGGATTTTAGCAAGGCCTTTGATACAGTATCTCATCCCATTCTTATAAATAAATTAAGAGGCTGTGACATAGATGTTTACACGGTCCGGTGGGTGGCAAATTGGCTTAGCGGTCGCACCCAAAGAGTGGTAACAGACGGGCCGGTATCAGCCTGGAAGGAGGTGGATAGTGGGGTCCCGCGGGATTGGGTCTTTGGACCTGTACTCTTCAATATCTTCATCAGTAACTTGGATGTGGGTGTGACGTGTACTATGTCCAAGTTTGCGAATGATACTAAATTGTGGGGTGAAGTGCACACTCTGGAGAGTAGGGAACGATTGCAGGCAGACCTGGACAGGTTAGAAAAGTGAGCAGTACACAACAGGATGCAGTACAACAAGGACAAGTGCAGAGTGCTGCACCTAGGGTGCAAAAATATCCAGCATACTTACTGGCTCAGAAGTGACCCTCTCAGCAGCACAGAAGCAGAAAGGGATCTTGGAGTCATAGTGGACTCCAAGATGAACATGAGTCGTCAGTGTGATCATCAGCAAAGCTAACTGCACTTTATCATGCATTAGCAGATGCATGACAAATAGAACCAAGGAGGTGATACTTCCCCTCTATGCAGCATTGGTCAGACCACAGTTGGAGTACTGCATCCAGTTTTGGGTGCTGTACTTCAAGAAGGATGTTGATAGACTCGAGAGGGTCCAAAGGAAGGCCACTCGTATGGTTAGGGGCTTACAGAACAAGCCCTATGAGGAGAGACTGTGGGACCTGGACGTCTTCAGCCTCTGCAAGAGAAGGCTGAGAGGTGATCTGAAGGCCCTCTACAAATTCATCAGGGGGATGCAGCAAGGGATCAGAGATGCTCTGTTTACCATGGCACCTCTCGGGGTAACAAGGAACAATGGTCACAAACTGACAGAGAGCAGATTTAGGCTAGATATCAGGAAAAACTTCTTCATGGTAAGGGTGGCCAAAATCTGGAATGGGCTTCCAAGGCAGGTAGTTCTCTCCCCTACCTTGGGGGTCTTTAAGAGAAGGCTGGATAGGCATCTACCTGGGGTCATCTGACCCCAGCACTCTTTTCTGCCTAGGCAGGGGGTCGGACTCGACGATCTGTTGAGGTCCCTTCCGACCCTAACATCTATGAATCTATGAAACTGACATACATCTTGACCTAGTGTAGTAGACAGGTGGAATATGATGGAGATGCTCTCGATTCCTATGGAGAAGACCTCTAGGAGTAACCACCTAATATGAATGAGGGGTATCTGCCCTAGCCTGGACAGTGCCTTGTATTCCTGCATCTGGAATCCAAACTTTCTGCTGTAGAGAAAGAGCAGATACATTTCTTGAGGAATGCCAGCCGGTTCACTGTGATGGGAATGGTGGGAGGGCAGATGGTGGGAAGGCAAGGCTAAGGAGATTCAACTTCTCACTAATATCCATGATATGTGTGGTTTCTTTAGTGCTTACTGGAACTGAAAAAATGCAAAAACGGGTGGAAGAGGAGCAGGAAAATAGTTGGAGGCGGTGGAATTAAATAGCAGTGGCTGAGACTAGCCAGCCAGCAGGGGTTTGGGGAAAAAGAGTTTGGGGTCCCAGTGGAAAGAGGCTGAGGCTGGCTGGCCAGCCGGCTTTCTGTGATAAGTGGCAGCACAGTGGGGGGGGGGGATAACGGCACTGCTGGGGGGAGGAGGGGGGTGGGGGGGACCCAACTCCGGGCAGGAGCAGGGTAAAAAAAGTTTGGAGTCTGGGTGGAATGCATGCGGCTGAAGCTGGCTGGCCGACTCACTGTGATAAGTGGCAGCACAGTAGGGTTGGGGTCTAGTGGCACTGTTGGGGGCAACACAGGCGCAGGGATGCGCCCAACTCCAGGCAGGAGCAGGGAAAAAAAGTTTGGGGTCCGGGTGGAATGCAGCTGAGGCTGGCTGGCTGGCCGGCTCACTATGATAAAGTGGCAGCACAGCAGGGGTGGGGGATAGTGGCACTGCTGGGGGGAACATGGGAGCAGGGGTGCCCCCAACTCCACACAGGAGCAGGGAAAAAAATGTTTGGGGTCCGGGTGGAAAGAGGCTGAGGCTGGTTGGCTGGCCAGCTCACTGTAATAAGCAGCAGCACAGTGGGGGTGGGGGATAACGACACTATTGGGGGGAGCACCGGGGCAGGGGTGCTCCCAACTCCAGGCAGGAGCAGGGAAAAAATAGTTTGTGGTCTGGGTAGAATGCAGCTGAGGCTGGCCACCTCTGATAAGTGGCAGCAGCACAGTGGGGAAAAGAACAGCCAGAAGCGTGGTGCATGTGAAAAGGCAGAACATGTTTTTTTGGAAATATCATTTTTCATGAATCTAATAAGTAATAAAATAATCAGTAAAAATTTGCAAGATTAGCACCTGGTTGAATCAGTGCAGGAGAAATTAGATGAACTTTCATGGATTTCCATGGATTTACAAGTGAACCCAAGCAGCACCTGATGGTGCAATAGTTGCAAAGCAGGGAAAAAATCACATTTTTGGGCATAAGTCAGATCCATGTTACAAATTTAAAATGATAAAAATAACCCTCATGGAAGAAATTCAGGAGCTAAAAATAAAACGGATACCCACCCCCCCCCCCCCCCCAACCCCCCCCATCCAATAAAATAAGATGATAACATGGATACACAAATGCAATTTAGCTAGCTTAATGGCAATTTTTGTCACGTGGACACAGGAAAAGTGTAACATGGAAACAGGAGAGGTGTAACATGGATAAGCGCCCTCAGGGACCAACCCCCTTGAGACCTAAAGATTGGAGGAGACCTAATCAATGCCCATTGGAAGAAGCATTTTCAAGACCTTCTCAATTAAGACTCTGTTGTTGATGAGACTGTTATGAACTCCATCCAGTCAGAGATAATCTCGGAATCTCTCCAACCCTAGTTGAAGTAAGGAAACGGATCGAGCACATGAAGAATAAGAAGGCATCTGGAATGGATGGAATCCCCATGGCAATCTTCACCCAGGGGGCAGAGGAGC